TTGGACAGGCACCGTCATTTTGTAGTTTTCTTTCAATAAGCCTATACTGTAAGGACAGTCAAATGAACTACACTACCCAGAAGCCAACAGTGCTTCCAGACGCTGCTTTCTGCTGAAATGGAGGTAAAGTCTTGCAACACAAAGTCAGAAGTAACTATCTATTAAACTCACAGAACTGTCAGGAAAGTTGCAAATAATCCTGAAGCTTCATGAAGCTCAATTATCCACATGCACATCAACCTGGGCTCGGCAGTGGGCTTCGTTGTTGCAGGGTGGGTCTGCAGAACCAGAACCGAGCTGCTGGTCTGCAGAGCTGGTGAGTACAGTTTTGTAGTACTGTACAGTACATATATGTATGTTGTTAAAATGACGTAGGTTTAAGAGTTTAGAACATTGCAAGAGCGTGGGAAGGGTTTCTAAATGTTAAAATATATATAAATACTAAAATAAATATAGTGTTCCTACTTCGCAGTTTTTCACCTATTGCAGGGGTGTGTGGAACGTAACCCCCGCAATAATCGAGGGACTACTGTAAACGTAAACACGTGTGTACAAAGACTTTGCTCAGTTCCTGTAAAATGTGTCCTGGTGAAACACTGGCTCAGATCTGAACCAGCTTTATAACCAGACTTTGTCTTTGGGACTTGGACTGTTGACCTGACGGACGCTTCAGGAAGGTGCTGATCTCCCTGCAGCGTTCTGCAGACTTTCGTTTATACGGCTGGGTGGCGGGCGATGCAGACATGATGCTTTAGAGCTTCAACAAAAATTAGCATGTATGTCAATGGAGCTAATCTGCACCTGTAATCTGTTATCTGTAATCTGGTCATCTGAACTGTTCCAGCATGAACTCAGTGTGATGGAAGCTGAAGGCCATCTGACTTCATTTTGATCATCTGTTGTGAGAGTGTGTATATATTTTGTTTTTCAGGTAGAAGTCTCACCTGTGATTACTGCAACCATCTGAAGGGGAGAGGGGCCTACCTGAGTGGGACACACCCTTCCTTTAGGGGGAGATGGGGCTTGATCGCTCCTCTGTCCTCCCAACCACTGAACCAGTTGACTTTAATACAACTTGTGTTTTACGTATGTTGAGTGGTTCTCAATGTGGTGCATCCATCTGAGCCAATAAGATGTTCCATCAGGTTCTGTTTTAGATTATTTTCAAGTCTTATGACTCTAGAAACACACTAAGGACACTTTTTTTTTTGGGGGGGGGGGGGGGGGGGGTCTGGGGAGGCGTGTCCCCTCACTTGGACAGTAAATGTAATTAGCAGGAAGATTAGGCAGTGACAAACTGCTTGTTACTACATCCATGGAGTCCATGAATATTTAAATCTGGGGGCTCTGCTATGATAATGGCTCCAATAAACCTCCAAACTTTGACCCCCCCCCCCAACAGATCAGAACAGAGTTAAGTTCTCCTTTCAGTTCAGAGAAGCAGCACTGCAGGTAAGCTGCATGCTTAGCCCTCTGACTGCGATGGATTCACGTTTCCTGTAAGCAGGTGGCGTGTGGAGACGCAGCGAGCGCCTCGTGTCAAAACTTACAGCTGCTCGAAAAGGAACCCTGTGGTGCGCCGAGACGTCAGAGAGCACAATCAAGAGTGGCTGAAGCAAGAAGAAGGAAGGAAGTGCTGCCCGTGGACGCCAACCACACAGCTTCAATGGCTTTTAACAAAAAGAGACACCAACATGATGCTGTGCTGCCTTCAGCTCATCTGGGGGGGGGGGGGGTTCCATCATGAAGGAGGTTCAAACAGAAAGAAACAATCGTGTCGGGACAGATGACCCAGAGGGGCTCAGCAGCCACCCAGCAGACGCCTCGCACTGATAACAGGACACATACATGCAGATCCGACCCTCTATGAGCCTGAATGCATCATTTCTGTGCAGAGGCAGCGTTGACCCACGATGAGCCTGAATGCATCATTTCAATGCAGATACAGAACTGACCCACAGTGAGCCTGAACACATCATTTCCTTGTAGAGGTATTGCCCATGGTGAGCCTGAAAGCATCATTTCACCTTAAAATTATCGACCCTCAGTCCTCCGACTGTGTCAGCGAGAATTGTCGCTCACTGACGAGGGCAATCGCGTGTTTCTTTGGTTTGAAGAGGGCCACCTGCATCATGAAGGACCACGCTCACCCAGCACACATTCTTTTTGCCCCACTCCCCTCAGGCAGGAGGTTGAGGAGCAATAAGTGTAGAACCACTAGATTGAGGAACAACTTCTACCCTGAGGCTTTTAAACTCCATCCATCCATCCATTATCTTTACCCGCTTCTTCCATTTTGGGTCATGGGGGTCATCGGTGCACATATCCAGCAATCACTGTGAGAGGGGCGGGGTACACCCTGGACAGGTCTCCAGTCCATCACAGGGCCACATAGAGACAAACAAGACAAACAACCATCCACTCTCTCGCTCACACCTAGGAACAATTTAGAGTTACCAATCAGTCTAACATGCATGTTTTTGGTCTGTGTGAGGAAACCAGAGTACTCGGAGAAAACCCACGCATGCATGGAGAGAACATGCAAACTCCACACCGAAAGACCCCTGGCCCGGGATTTGAACCGGGGACCTGCTCGCTGAGAGGCAGCAGCTCTACCAGATGTGCCACTGTGCTGCACTCTGTTAAACTCATGAATCCCTAACCAGGATAATCACTGTGAAATAATCACTGTAATGCCACTTGATTGTTGATATGTGCTGCTGATTATCCATGCTGATCTCATGCTGCTGATTATTCATGCTGCTGTATTCATTAGTACTCATCTGCTCACACAGACTCATGTTCGTGCTGCTGTTCGGCATATTGTCTTTGTACTACTAGTGCTTAGTGTATTTTTAGTTTAACATTTTTCTTAATTCAAAGTTTTTCTTTACAATTTCATTCAACCTTAATTTAGACAGGTTAATCCCATTGAGCCTCGAGGACTCATTTACAAGAGAGACCTGAATTTATACTTTTGTTGGATGTAACTAGGACACTGTGTACACAATTTTGGTGGAACTTTGACTTTGAAGCTTTACAAATGATCCAAATTCAACATGGCTGCCGCAGATAGTTGGTTCTAGTATGAAAATGGCCAAAACTCAGTACCATTTATAAATCTTGAGCCAGAACCTGGTGTGGCAGTAGCTGAGAGTCGTCCTCAACACAAACTTGAGCTCAGATTTTTTTTAATCATTCCTTCAAATAATCCGTAATTGAATGGTTCTGGTTTTATTCTGGTATTTGTCCTAAATGTAAGGAAATGTTACATATCTGAAGCTGTTTTGTTTCTCAATTTTACAAACAAAACAATAATTAGATGTAAAAAAAATGTTTGTTTATGTACACACAGTTTATGAATGATTAACAGTGTAAAATGAAGAAATAAAACTGGGTCTGGGTTCTAACCTTACTAGATCTTTTCCCAGGATCTAAAGCTTCATCGGTGCCGTTGTTAGCCCGTGTGTGGTCCAACACAGGCTCAGAACAAGCCCAGGACCAAAGACTGAGTCAGGGCTCAGACAGCAACACCTCCTGTGACGTCTGACAGATCTGTGCAGTGATACCGGGTCTGCTGGAGATTAAACTGGGCTGTGGCTCCGAGGAGGACGCTGGGAACTGGTTGAACAGGACAACTGGAACACTTTTGGTTTTCTTATGAGTAGGTACAGAGTTTTTGAAATATGGTCGCTGTCTGGAGACGGCGCTCACACTACGCTGAAGGTGTTGAAGAGACAAACAGGAAGAGAGCAGATGCTGGACTGGAGTCCTAAAACGGATCCATCTGAGTCCTGCTCTTTGCAGTTTCTGTCTCTGCAGAGCAGAGAGACGTGTCATCGTCTCAGACTCAGACTTTAACTCATTTTCCAGCTGATAAAAGTTTAGCAAACAAACAAAAGTCAGGAACAGCAGTGCTGAAACAGTTCAAAGGTTCTGTTGGTCGTTACCATGAATTAAAGGGTTCGTTCGTTCTAATGTCACAGATTGAAAACTTGTCAACAGAACTGCAGCTTCATGATGCAAAGAATCACGACGACACCTCATCGGTGCGCGGGCCTAACTGGACCAGAAGCTTTCCACACACCCACTCCAACCCAGAACTCACAAGATGAGTCCCTCTGTATCAGAACCAGAGTTAGATTCCCATAAGTACTACAGGTCCTGACAGAGGTAGGTGACTAAACCAAGCTGCCTGTGAAGTCACGCAGGACGTTGCAACGTAAAGCTCACACGTCACGGTCTGACACAAGAAAAAGAGAAGTCAGGCCTGTGATTAATGTGACAATGGGAAGTGAGCAAAGTGATTACTGGTCCATTACTGGTCCGATCAGACCTCAGATCAGTGGTAACCAGCCACACCCGTCACCTGACTGTGTCTCAACTCCTGCAGCGTCATCATCCTGGGCCTCCGTCTCTCGGGTCAGAGACTAGGAACATGTCCCTGCTTGTTGTGCTCCATTACTCACTGCCAGACATGTGAGCCCTCAACGTGAGGGACGGTGTCACACGCAGCCCAAACACTGCCTCCCCCCTCCACCCGCCTCGCCTCACAGGCGGAACGTCACATCAGCCGTTTCCTGAAGCCACAGCAGAAGGCAGCTTCAGAACAAGCTGCTGCCAGGACACACAGAAATGATCCACGTGCACACTTATTATCTTCTGTGAGCGGTTTGCTCTCTCGTGTCCGTCCTGACGGAAGCCAAAACAAATTTTGAAATGAAACCACGCGTCGTGAGCCGAGTGTTTGTGAGTGTGGAGCAGGACCAGAGTGTGTGCGTTTGATCTGTTTGGAGGTAAAATCACTGCGTTCAGAGTTATTCTGTCTGACAGGAGAACCCTGGACACTGATCTGATGGACATGAAGATGCTCTCTGAAATCATCCACTCATCACTTTTCAGACACGAGGAGCTAACTGAATGAATCTCTTGCTCCTTAAAGATGACCTCTGAAACATATGTGACGTTTAGGACTGGATTCAGCTCCTACAGCAGCTTACCTGTGCTTCTCCAGTTCGTTGTGTGATGATCTGAAAGAAAAGGAGACACGTGTCAGGGCGGAGAGTCAGAAAAAAAACTTTAAATCACCTGACATGACCGTTAAACTCTGCGTTAATGAGAGCTGAATGTTTTGATCCAAACGTGAGACAGATGAAAGCAACTCTGGCGGAGCAAATCAAGAACCAGATCAAAACTGTGAGAAAAAGAAACGTGTGAAGAGATCAGAGAGAGGCCTCGACTCTGCCTTCATGTGGCTGCTGGGCTCTTCAGTGATGGAGCTGCGAAACAACGAAGTGTTACGTAAGAAGTACAGAAACAATTAGACCCCAAAAAAACCACAGTCATGTGTTGCAAACTAACTGTGATTTAATGGTTTAAGAGAGCAAACACGCAGAGATGGGATCAAACGTTGTGAAACGTCTGCATTTCTGTAGAAATCCAACCCAGCACGTCATCAGATATTCCTATAGGAACAACAAGAGTCGGAAATGCTGTAACTGGTAAGGGATTTATTAAAATGATGCAATGGTTGGTATCTTTGAATGACAGAAAGAAAGAGCTGCTAATGAGCGCGATGTGGAAGTGTGCCTTCACTTTGTTTAGACGGTGGAAAGTCAAGTCCATGGTTGGTTGGTTGGTTGGTTGGTTGGTTGGTTGGCCGGCCGGCCAGCCAGACAGACAGTGGTATACCATTGTCTGCTCAAAACAAAGCATTTAAAGCCCTCCGTCGCAAGGGCTGTAATCAGTCAGGAAACACCATGACTGACAAACACCACTGCCTCTCTGCTCTTTATTTGAAAAACTACAGGAAAAAGAAAAAAGACGAAAAATTGTGTTAAAAATTTGAGAACACATGACAGGAGAACAGCGTTTGGGAGAAAGCAGCACTTTCCTCAGTTGAAAAGACGTCTAAACGACATGTTTAATGATTCCTGGACATTTGGTTGAAATGAAGCGACATTTGGTCTAAAAGTGAAAAATGTCCATTCTGCAGTCAAGACTGGTAAGAGTACATGTATTGTTGCCATGGTGATCAAATCACAAGTATCTGCTAGTACCTAACTGAGCTAACAGTCCAAACAGAGGTAGTACCTTCTGAATTATGACCCAATGTCCAAATTAAATAAAATAATCAATTTTCTGGGATTCACCACGTCCTGGATGACTGAGGACCCACACCAGCACATTACTGAACCTGCAGGCTTAGGTCTGTGGGAGGAAACTGGAGAACATCCTAACAGAGAACCTGCATCCTTCTCACCACGAGACAACATGCAAGAACAAATCAGCAGAGGATACCATCTCCTCTGTGGTCCACACTGCTCTCACCCTCAGCACTGGCTCTCCTCAGGGATGTGTGCTGAGCCCCCTCCTGTTCAATCTGCTCGCATATAATTGTGCACCTACCCATCCAGGCTGTCACATTGTAAAGTTTGCAGATGATACAGCGGTGATGGGATGCATCACAAACAATGATGAGTCCAGCTACAGGGAGGAGGTGGAACACCTGGAGAGCTGGTGTAAAGAGAATAACCTTCACATCAATGTGAAGAAGACAAAAGAGATGATCGTGGACTTCAGAAGGAACAAATACACCTACACCCCCTTGAACATAAGAGGATCTGGAGTGGAAGTGGTTTCCAGCTACAAGTACTTGGGTGTACACATGAATGACAACCTCAGCTGGAGCAACAACACCACCAGCCTGATCAAGAAAGCTCATCAGAGACTCTACTTCCTCAGGCAGCTGAGACGAGCTGGTCTGGGAAGCTCAGTCCTCACCTCCTTCTACAGGTGTGCAGTGGAGAGCATCCTGTACTCCAGCATCAACATGTGGCATGGAGGCTGCACAGCTGCAGAAAGAAAAGCTTTGCAGAGAGTGGTGAAGGCTGCACAGAAATCTGTCGGAATCAGTCTCCCCACCATCACAGACATTTACACCTCCAGATGCAGGAAGAGGGCCACCTGCATCATGAAGGACCCCACTCACCCAGCACACACACTTTTTGCCCTGCTCCCCTCAGGAAGGAGGTTAAGGAGCATTACGTGTAAAACCACTAGACTGAGGAACAGCTTCTACCCTGAGGCTGTTACCGACTCATGAATCTCTAACCAGAATAATCACTGTGAAAAATCACATCATGTTGCTGCTGATCTGTTTCATGTTGCTGCTGATCTGTTGCATGTTGCTGCTGATCTGCTTCATGTTGATGCGTTCATTCATGCTCATCTGCTCACACAGACTCATGTTCGTGCTGCTGTTCGACGTAATGTTGTTATGCTATTAGTGAACACGTTATTTAAATTACACTTAAAACTTGTGTCACTTTTATTTGATTTTATTCTAAAGTGTTATAAAACACAGTCCTGAGTGGGAGCAGAAACTGGGACACTGCACCCCCCACCTCCACCCAGCACTCTGAACAAAAACCCTCAGACGTCCAGAAGCCTACAGACATGGCAGAATTCCTCAGCGTGTGGGCTATTACGAGGAAAGCCCCCCCATTATGAGACCGTCCATCTGAAACAGGCCCCTCCGTTCAAGAGGCAGTCATGGATACCACGGCAACAAAAACAAAAACAGCAACAACAAAGAGCCAGACTGACAACAAGGCTCCTCAGACTGTCTGAGGGCCCTTGTGCTCATGAGGCTGTGGTCTCCCACAGCTGGGCCAAAGAGAGCCCGGCATCCAACGGCGCAAAAGGAGGTGAAGCGACCCCGAGATAAATGTGGCATCTGCACAAAATCAACCCCAAAAGGACGGAGCACAGCTGATGTACGAAAAGGCAGACAGAGAAGTTCACTCCGTCGTGGAGGAAGTTGGCTCCTTCGTCCAAACTGGGCCGAGCGTCCCCGTCGAAGTACGGCGTGAGCAGGAAATCACTCGGAGGAAGGCGCTGACCCCAGACCAGTACAAACAGCGCATGAGCACACCTTTACATGTTATGTAAAGGCACCGTGTGTGATATGCAAAGCATGAGCACAGGCCAAGGAAATGGCTTTCTGCCACTTTTTATCGCTTGAGCTGAGCAGTTCTGTACTCGCAGGAACAAACACAGGCTCAACGATCAAGCTGTGTTTTTATTTTTCTCTGCTGAAATATTAATCTTGCAGCATCACAGACCACGTGACAGAAAGAAAACCGTTGTGGCAACAGATCCAATATCTGTGTCATTTTATAAGCACTCTTGCAAAAGTAAAGGGCGCGTGCAAAACCGTGAATTTAACAAAAAATATCTTTATCTAGGAAAAACTGACGATCCAAAAATCAATTACAACTTCTTTTCTTTCTTTCCAAAAGAGAAAACACGGTATACACGGTCAAAAACTGTATGGCTCCACCTTATGCAGTCCTTCTGCCATATGGATTTTTTCTAACCTAACACTCAACAGGAAGTAAGCCTTTTCAAAATGAAACTACATTTCACAATAAAGCTGACCTGAACTAATATTAACCTTACTTACTAAAATGGCCAAAATAAAAAAACAAAAGGCAATTCACAAAATATATAATCTAAATATTTATTTATGGCTTTAACAAAAGACTTTTTTTTTTTAATCAAACAGCCAACAAAAGACCAAAGAAGCTCCATCAGAGACCCGTCTCTCTGTTGATCTCTCCAGCAGGTACCGACTATTGACTGCAGAAAACTACATTATGGTTCCAGATGTTGCAGATCCTCCACAGACCCCCTGTTGCTTCAGTACGGCTGTACCTGCATGTCCGACTGTTAATGAGGTCTGTCAGGAATCACTGGACCAATCTGAAATTTGATGTTCATCCACGTGGGTAAAGATAATGGATGGATCTAAGGGCGGCTGTGGCTGACTGGTTAGAGCAGTCGTCCTCCAGTGCAAAAGTTGGGGGTTTGAATCCACCAACAGTCACATGCCTAAAGGCTCCAGTATACTCCCGCGTCCTGTCAGCCGCACTGTCCGCAGAGGGTTCAGACTTCATACTCGCGCGTCCACCCTGAGCGGCTGCAGACCAGCTCCGCAGACAATGGGCGTTTACCTTCAGGACAAATTGAGGTCACCGATTGGTCATTTGCTGACACGCCTACTGGATTGATTGACGGGTCAGGAAAAAAAAAACGAGAGCTGGCAGCCGCAGCAGTGTTCTGTGTTTATATGCTGTTAATAAAAAGATCTACAAAATTAAAAAAACAGGACTTGTTGCCCTCACATCAGACCAGCCCAACAGGAAATCTCCAGACCCTCCCACAGCCACGCTGGACCTGAGTTTAATTTGCTCGTGACAAATTCCTTCATTTCTCACCATTTCAGTCATGGCATCAACGGAGGAAGAAGAGATCACTGCCTCTTGGCAAAAAAACAAAAGAAAAGGCCAGATCATGGATGAAGAAGGGGAATTTAATAAGTTGGTGTCACATACCAAACAGTCCGTCGCCTGGCAGTTTATTGTACGACACCGTATAAACACCGTATACACACCGTATACACACCGTATAAACACCGTATACACACCGTATAAACACCGTATAAACACCGTATGCACACCGTATGCACACCGTATGCACACCGTATAAACACCGTATACACACCGTATAAACACCGTATACACACCGTATAAACACCGTATGCACACCGTATGCACACCGTATACACACCGTATACACACGTATGCGGTCGTAAAAATTGAGCTTTGCGTGGACATGCCCTGCGAGCGTCCGCTTCGACTCTAATTCGGTACACGCGGACCTCTGCGGACTGACGTACGCGAGAGTATACTTGGGGCTGAAGTGTCCCTGGGCAAGACACTGAACCCCTCATTGCCTCTGATGTGTGTCCCATCAGTGTATGAATGTGATAAAGCTCTGATTATTCTGTGTATAAATATAGTAGAGTGCTGTATGAATGGGTAAATGAGGCACAGATTGTGCTGTAAAGAGCTTTGAGTATCTTGAGAAGATAGAAAGGTGTTGTATAAATACATTTACCATCTGCAACCACTTCACGTTTGGAGCCAGCCCAATCCAAGATGGCCACCACAGCTAACGACAGCAGCGACACAGACTATAACTCAGTTTTACAGACATTGAGCTAAAATCTGAGGGGGCTCCTCGACGCATCTTTGTCATTTGAAGTGATCTCGGTGTAAAACTGACTCGACCGGGAGCGGGCGACGTGCATTCCCCCTAAAGCGCGCCAGGCCTTTAATTCAAACAGTGCTCCTCATTTACAGTTGAAGAATAAAAAAAGCCTTTCTTTCACCCCCACCCCCACCCCCCCAACCTCAAACATCCTGCTGATGCCTAAAAAAAGCTGTGGGAAAACATAAAGGGAGGTGGGATGTTTGCCCACAGGTCAGTCACAAAAACACGGAGGCCTAGAACGGCACGGCGAGCGAGTCAGCCTCGTGGTTTAGGTGTTCGTTAGAGCCACCACACCCTGCGGGCACACACACATGCACACACGCAGTTACCCAACAAGTACGTTTACTCGTCAGGAGAAAAGGAATGTGGCCAGAGCTGCATTTTTCTTTAGATCCAGGTGAGTCTAATCCCATCGATTCGTTGCACAGAAAGACAAAGAGGACGATGAAGTGAGTCACTTCCTTTTGTCAGCATCTACAGCTCCAAGTGTTAGTCACCATGCTCGTCCGTCGGTCAAGTGAAGACACGCTGCTGGTATGTTACGTTTAAAATAGTAAGCAGAATATTCTGGGGAAGGCTGGCGATTTGGCGAAATAAAACTAGAAACGGTGAAAAGACGCCTCCTCACCCTCAAATAACATTTATTATTCTTACAGCTGAAGGAAAATGACTTTGAATCAGTCTGAGACGTTCTGGTAAAATGATCTGTGCTGTGGGTGAGAGTCAGCTGGACTGACTGGTGGCGGGTGATATGCATTCTTCCTTCAAGAAATGCTACTTTCATTTCTGAACATGACGTCAACCTGAGTCAAAGAGCAGTTCCCTATTGCGCACGTCGCACCATTATTTTTTAAATCACACGTTTAAGACAACAAGGAAATAAAACACTTGGGGGATTTTTTTGTTTTGCTTTCAATTTTGGTGTGGCCGTCCAAACTTTGAGAACTAAAACTGACAGAAAATAAAAACCACTGATTGGAAAGTCCAGTGATGGGACAAAAAGACATTCCCAGTCATAAACAAAGTTTTTTTTTCTCTGATATCAGTGGTTGGTGTGCCAACTACGCCGTGAGTCTGTGTACCTCCAGCCGGAGTGACCGTAAACGTGGCGTCTGTGGAAGAGCCGCTCGGGAGCAAGAAGCCGATCACTTTGAAATGCTCAGATTTGTTGAGTAAAGGATCAGATTGTTTTAACAACCTATCTGAATTGGAAAAGACTTCTTAGAAGCACATCACAGACGAGACCAAACAAGGTTTGAGATATAAACATACCAGGACTGGAGCTGGAAAAACAGGGAAATGGTGAATTTTCCAGTTTTAGCGTTAGTTTTGTAAAAGCTGCGTGTTTTAATGTCACCTCCCTGCTCGATGACTCATATTTCATCTCGACTGTTGTCTCACACCATGACGTCTTCTCTGATATTCTACGTGTGCGAGATTCCACCATATTTGTTTGACTAACGGGGGTCAGTCACATGACTTCCCGGTGGTTTTGGGCAGATTTGTCGTAGATTGGGTTCCTGCAGTTCAGAACTGCACATCAGTAAATCTACCTGGAAAACGCCAACTCATAAACTGCACCGTTCGCTGTGCTCAGCTAAATCTCGTTTAACAGTCTGATTGCACCGAGGAGCTTTAAGTGAACTTTGAGCAGCCGTCCAGTCGCTCCGACATCATAAAACACCTGAACAAAAACTGAAACCTGCACGACTGTCATGTCAGGGTCCAGCTGTAACTAGTAATGGGTCAAACTGGATAGCAGTGCATGGTCAGTGAACGCATCATGATTAAAAACTGTGCCTGGTCAGTGAAAGTATCATGATTGAAAATAGCACCTGGTCAGTGAAGGCATCACAATTCAAAAACAGTGTCTTGTCAGTGAAGGCATCATGATTAAAAAAACAGTATCTGGTCAGTGAAGGTATCACGATTAAAAAAACTGTCTGATCACTGTAGGCATCATGATTAAAAAACAGTTTCTGGTCAGTGAAGGCATCAAGATTAAACAATGTCTGATCAGTGAAGGTATCACAAAAAATAGTGTATTGGTCAGTGAAGGCATCACAAAAAAAGTGTCTGGTAAGTGAAGACATCACAATAAAAAAAACAGTATCTGGTCTGTGAAGGCATCATGTTTAAAAAAACAGTCTGGTCAGTGAAAGCATCATGAAAAAAATCAGTGTCTTGTCAGTGAAGGCATCACAAAAACAGTGTCTGGTCAGTGAAGACATCGCAATAAAAAAAACATTATCTGGTCAGTGAAGGCATCAGGATTAAAAAACAAACCAGGCAGATCAAAAACATGACGCCTTCATGGCCCACTGAGAGTGTGGGAGAAATAGAGTACGGTTCATTTAACTAGACACAGCAAAGATAATCAGCATTTCAATGCGCTTTGGTGTCGGTGGAAGCTCGTGGGACTGACGGAGGTGTAGTAAGGACAGGTTGACGTGTGTTTTCGTCCTCTTGGCACCGGGAGGCGAACAGAAAGAGAAGTGAACAGAGGTAGCGCTGTACGCGTGGCACTGTTGATTGGAGAGACCATAACACTGATCCAGGACCAGCCGGGCGGCTCAGCGCCGCTGAAGGTGTCCGAGCTTCACGCAGCGGACGCAAACACGACACGCATTTATTTACCTGTTGTTCGGAGGCTTTCTGGAAATCGTCGTGGGTTTCGTTTTCTTTCGAGAAAAGTCGTCGCTGTACGGTAAAACAGACGCGTAACCGTGCTCTGCCTCTGTTGACACATCAAGCAAAAATAAAATAAGCCAAATACAGCTCAGCAGGAATGAAAACCAGCTACTGGTGTGTTCAGGGACAGAGGTACAGTCTGTATTGTAACCCAGCAGATCAATCATCTCCATCACATTATTTTACACAACTCATTTTTAATGCAACACTTGTTTTACACATTTCCACGCATTAGAAAGGAAAATACTCTGAGTACATTCAACACGTGACACCCCGAGAACACAACATAAATACACTTTAAATAATAAGACAGGTTTAATTTACAGGCTTTAATTTAAATGGGTCCGGTTCCCTTCATCCGCTGGTCTGTGTCCCACAGAGACACGAGTGACATCATACCTGCACTGTGGCAGGACATGTCCATCGAGACATTTAACCCAATAACACCGTCATAATTCAACAAAAACAGCCGACTAGCTTTAAATACCTCTGTCTCTTCTCTCCAAATACTCTGCAGCCTCCAGCAAAATTAAAAGCGAATTAAGTTCCATCTTCTTTGATGTCTTCTTATAAAATTAGAAATAATATACTCACACAGCAATAAAATTCATAAAATATTGGAATGGAAACAAAAACTAAAATGTTTTAGAGCGATGTATTTGCGCTGCTGTGTTCACTTCTGAGTCTTCACGACTCCAAACTACATTATAGCAGCTAACTCAGGAAGTTGAGTGACCGCGCCTCTGTCCAATAGGGAACGAGAACGGAGGCCACTTTTGGGTGTGTCCTCGCCAATGAAACTCTATGGCGAGATTTCATTGGCTGAGCCACTTGGAGTCTCGGGGACGTGCCCTAGCAACAGCCCAGGCGTCCCGCCTACCTTACAGCTGATTGGTCCTACGCTGAAGGAGCAATCCTATGATTGGCTGGAGGAAACTCTGGGCGCGTCTGTGTCGTTGAACTTGGGTGTTTTGTTGCTAAATGACAAAGTTCCTTAAGTGTTTGGGATGTGAAGTGAACATCCAGACTGTCAACCAGGCTTTTTTATTATTATTTTTACGTGAGACTGGTATTTCTTCATATTTATGAGCGTGGTCCGACACACCTCGTGTTTTGTGCGCATTTTCTGCCAGAGTCCTCGTGAAAGTTTGAGGTTTAAGATGAATGCAGCCGATTTGAAAAATGAACGTGTTGACAGTTGTGGTGGCATTTTACTAAGAAATATGCAGCCAAGCACTAAATATGAAACTCCAAATTGCAATTTTTTTTTAAAATTCAAAACAAATTAAACAATACCTATCAAGTAAGTGTATGACTAGGTTCAAATAAGTGCATAATATTCTTTAGCAAGTAAAGGCTTTGCACGTTGGTTTATTAATTTGTTTGTTTGTTTTCAACTGACATCTAAAAGTGTGTTTGGCATGCTTTATAAAGTTTTATGCAGGATAAATAATGCTTTTAGGATGTCTTTTTGTCCATGTTCTTGTGCACTGGATTATATCCATGCATCTCTTCAAAGCTGCGAGGAAATCTTTATTATTTTTGAAGTAATGGTGAAGCTGTGGCAGCATAGAAGATCATAGAAATGCATCACACATTGTTTTAGCCAAATCACTGAAGTTAATTGAATGATTATGAATTTCAAAAACAGACTTATTGAATAAAATTATATAAATGATGGCATTTGATGTCACGACTACCAAAAGACAACACTAAAGATACTGTAAATTTAGTCTTGACCCAGATGTTTTGCAGATCTTTTATTGACTGTAGGTGTAAACCCAGCCTGTGGTGATAATTTATGACTCAGTCCTGCCTGGGCTGCAGGTCCTCATGTGACCAGTGTAACGGTGCAGTGGTGGGAAATCCCTTTGGATCCAACACCAAGTGACTAGAGCAAGGTGTCCGAGGAACTGGAGTATTGTGAGAGTTATGAAAGTCTCAACAGGCCGTGCAAATGTGGTTTTCTGTGCACGACAGGCAGTTTGTGACGCTAGGAGCCAGATGTTAGAGCCTCTGAAGGCCGGGCTGCATTCTGCAGGAGTCAGATATTCAAGAGGTAGTAACTTTCACTGTAATTGATGAGAAAAATGTCCCCAAGGACCCAAACTACAAGAAATCCCCCAGTTAACGTGAAGCTGCCAGTTTAGTTAGTCAACAGGTTTGATGTGCAAACTGAAAAAAAACACCTAAAATGTGTGAAGCTGCACAGCATGAAGAAGCCACACCATCAAAATGGTAATTTATTATTCACAACAATGCTCAGACTTTATCTACCTTTTTGCTTAATTATATTATACAAAGAGCTTTTGTCTTATTCAAGTCTGCGCAGCTACAAATTATCTTGTTTATTGGTGGAGTGTTGTATTTATTTTTAAATGGGAACATTTAAATGTATTCATCTGTGCAGATATATTTCAGAAGATGTTGGATCATTCATCCTTTAGAAAATCTTATCTCGTACCATGTTCATCAAGCTGAAGCCAAGCAGAAACCAGCTGCAACTCAAGCTCCATGAGGTCATTCCTGCATTTGGCACCACATAAACTCAATCCATTTAGCACATTTTTATGCTTTTTACAATTTGGTTTCTGTGTAATATTAAGATGTACATGTACCAAAGTTTATATGTTGAGTTGATCGTGTGAACGCTGACTCAGTCGTGCTGTTTTAAGTTTCTGCACATTATTAAAATCTAACATGAAATTCTTTGTTGTTTTAAACATTCAAATATCAGTGTTCAGCTCAATCAAGAGATGGGTGCGATGATTTGTTTTTTGTAACTTTTAAAACTATTTAACTTTATTTACAAATGCATCTGTATTGAAACACACTGAGTGTTCTTCAAGTCCTTCAAAAATAATATCCTGATGCATGTTCAATAATCCAGGTAGAAAAATCTAAAAAAAAAAAAAGTTAAATCTCGTCCTCTGGATATTAAAAAAAATTAAAAAATTGTAGAAACGTTTCTACATTTTTTTTGTTTTGTTTTGATTTTTTGAATGTCCAGAGGACGAGATTTAACTTTATTTTAGACTTAGAAAATAATGTTCTTTAAAAATCTACTTAAGAGTTCCTGCTCTTTTTCTGTCTTCTGCTACATGTAGCTCATATTAGCTACTGTTCTGCTTCTTTTAGATTTTAGATGACATTTTGAGATGGACTTGTGACCTGTCCAGGGTGTACCCCGCCCCTCGCACAGTGATTGCTTTTTTAATGATCCGGCGACCACCGAGACCCAAAATGGAAGAAGCGGGTAAAAGATAATGGATGGATGGACATTTTGATACTTTAACAACCATTCTGTTTCTTTAAGCTATTAACTAGTGTTTTTGCTTTTTGCAACTTTTAGTTAGCATTTGGATACATTTAGCTTTTAGCCAGTGTTTTGCTAGTTTCAGCTTTTAGTGTTCTGTGTCGTAGTTTTATTACTCCCTTTTAGGCTTCTTCTGTTGAATGTATTGTAGCTTTTATCTAGCCTTTTGCTACATTTGGCATTTTGGTAGCTTCATTTAACATTATTAATCAAATATTTTATTTAACCAATCAAATTCTGTTGAAGGCGGCATGGTGGTGCAGTTAGTAGAGCTGCTGCCTCTCAGCGAGCAGGTTACCCTGGTTCAAATCCCGGTTCGGGGGCCTTTCTGGGTAGAGTTTGTATGTTCTCTCCGTGCATGCATGGCTTTTCTCTGGGTACTCCAGTTTCCTCCCACAGACCAAAAACATGCATGTTAGGCTGATTGGTAACTCTAAATTGTCCCTAGGTGTGAGTGAGAAAGTGAATGGTTGTTTGTCTCATTTGTCTCTGTATGTCCCTGTGATGGACTTGCGACCTGTCCAAAGTGTCCCCCGCCTCTGAAACTGATTGGTGGACATGGGCACCAGCGACCCAAAAAGGAAGAAGCAGGTAAAGATAATGGATGGATTGAAATCCTGTTGAAATCACAAATCTCTTTTTAAGGTCCATGTTTTAGGACTGTGCAAGGAAATCGAAGCACAAGGAAAAAACCCACGAGGAGATCATGCAAACCACACAGAAACCCCCCAGGTCCAAGCCGAGGATTGAACCCAGGACCTTTTGGCTCTGAGGCAACAGTGCTAACCACTGAGTGGATCAGTGGTTAGCACTGTTGCCTCAGAGCCAGAAGGTCTACCATATTAGCTTGTACCTAGTGTTTTGGAAGTGTCTTTATTTATTTGTTTGTTTATTTATTTATTTGTGAGTTGGAGCAGTGGTTAAGTCTAGATCATATGTGGACCTTGTTAATTTGAGCCACATCAGATACTGGGGAACCAAGATGTTGTGATGAGAAATGGGCCACTGGACCAAGACATGCATGGACAAGGGCAGAGAACCTAACATTGTTGAAAAGCTACTGTGCAAGTAAACCTAGAGAGAGGGGCTATAAGTGAAGGATGTGGAACCTGTGGAAACTTCAATACCTATCATCCAAACTGACCCAGAAACAACTTTGGACTGAGTGATCTGCTATCACACCTGGAGATTGACAAGATACAACAGAGATGCTACACCAAGCGGGAGCCAGGACAACATTCCAGGGGTGATATACCATTATCCCCACCATCAGTGTATGGGTACTAAGCCTTGTTGAAAGCCCTAAAGAACCAAATACAAAGGCAGCTGCCAAGGCTATGTGATAAGTACCTTCTAAAAGTGTGCTAGAAGATGTGTATTCCTACTGACACCATCACAGAGACCAGAATATACAACAGCCACAGTGGTCCTTGGCTTGTTTGCCAACCATGAGAAAAGCATGAATAGATAGTCACTACAAAAATACATCAGCATGTGAATACACCAGGTATTGGTAGTACACCTAGCAGCACAGATGAACCAGCTCACGTCAAGTTACCCAGAGGGCTTGACCTGATCATGAAAGACCCCCAACTTTGTACAACACGTGGGTCAATACCTGAGTGAGGCACAGAGCCAAGTACCAGCTACAGATTGACGGAATGGGAGCTGGAGACTGGAAGACTAGACACACAAACCCATGCACTGCCTGAATTGATTAGGGAACAACCTCAGAGAACAGTCCTAGGAAGATACTGTGCAGAACCCTACAATTCCCAGACATTTGGTAAAGGCTTCCAATTTGAAGTGAAGTGGAAGAGTAGAGTGAGTAGGGACACACATTCAAAAGTGCAACAATCACCAGTCACATCTGCATGGACGACATCAAGCTGTAGCCTATGCCAAAAAATGAGTGAGACATCAACTCACTGATCTACCTCACCTGGACTGGATAAATGTAGTTGGATGGTATGCAAAAGAGACAAGGTGATCACAACTTAACGCTATAGTTCCTAACCCTGGTCCTCGAGGAACACTATCCTGCACCGTTTAGTTGGTTCCCTGCTTTGACACACCTGATTTTAATGAATAGGTGATTAATAGGCTTCTGAAGAACTTGAGAACGTAAATAAATAACTGGATCAGGTGTGTGGGAGCAAGAAAATGACTAAAGCATGCAGGATAGTGTTCCTCAAGGACCAGGGTTGGGAACCATCAACTCAAGACAAGCCCCTTCACTGTCCAGTTTTAAAACTCTTTTAAAAACATATTTTTACTCCCTGGCTTTTAGCACAGACTGAATTTGCTCTGTTTTTATTGTTTTTATTGATCTTAATGTTTTAACAACTGTTTTATGTGTTTAAATGTTCTTGATTTTATATG